ATGACCGTTAACATATATTAATTTGAGCCTATTTGGAATTAACTTGAAATCTAGAGACTTTCCATGATTAGGTTGAAAATCTCTTAAATGTAGTATTCTATTTATCTTGTGAGCATGTTATTAACTTGATGTATAATTAGTACTTGTAGCCTCTTAAAATGGTAATTAGACTTAACGTGATATAGAATATCATTGATTTGCAAAGCTTGTTTAAATGTATCTTATGTAAGTATATAGCTTGTTAGAATATTACAATTGTTTACCTTGAAAGCTTGATACTAAATTGTAGCTTATTGAATACTTGTGGCTTAGGAAGGTAATGTGGCTCAATTGTTGTAAAATATTAGTATTTTGTGTATAAATTGTATATTGAGGACGTGACATGTCATATGCTAATTAAACTTGAATTGTAGGACAGGAATTGTGTGGATTTAACCTTACTTGTGCGTGGAATGTGGTAACTTGCATTTGATTTTGTATAAGTTTTGAACTTATTGGTTTTGGCAAGCTTGTGAGGACATAATTTATGTGATGGCTAGGGTTTGGTTCTAGTACGGAGACAAAAGTCTTCTAAGTCATAAGTGCGCACTAGGTGGTACCTTGTGGATCGTAATTACCCGAAAATACTTGCTTGGTCTAGCGACCACATGTCCTAGTTTTTCCACTATTTGATTTCACATTTAATTTCAAGTTGTTAATCATGGATTACTTGTAACTTGAGAATTGATGCTTACTTTGGGTATTTGAATCCTATTTCGTATACTTGAAACTGTATACTTGCTTCTTATATTTAGATCTCATTTACCATACTTGAACTTGTATCTTTGGTTATATATCTAAACCCTAATTAGTATACTTACGCATTGTTTGTTTGATTTGTGCAATCGGACTTCATTAGGTATACTTGTGTCATATATGCTTGTCTTATGCGGAATTCATTTAGCTTAGTATACTTGTACCTGTATACTTGATTCATGAGTTTTCCATGTTAATTGTATATTTGTATATGCATGCTTAGACATTGAATAACTTATTAATATGGTTTAGTATACTTGTAAATGTATGCTTATATATCGTATATCATATTTTAATATTGACTTACATACTTGAGCATGTATACTTATATGATGTGGTTCATTTCAATTGCATGAGTAGCTAAGGATGATCCCTGAGTCTCACTTTGACATAGACGTTAGGTGGCATGAGCCCCTTTAACATGTTTAACCTTAAGGTGATATAATTGTAAAATGCTACGTCGATGCATGCTCATCTCATACGAGTAGCTTTATATTACTCACCCACGTAGTGGGGAGATTTTTCAGGTATGAAGGCTTGGTTCGTGATGCTCATTGGTCCTTGGATGACTTGTAGCTTTAAGTTTCACTTCATGCAAATGTTATCATGGAGTGCCCTTTTGTAGTCATATATGACAAAACTTGTAATTTTGTTCTAAGTATGTGATGGGTACGTAAGTACACTTTTTGTAATGTTTTGGCATGTATGACATGAGGCCAAGGGCCAAGTATGTTTATATTTGCACCTTTACTCATTTGGCGCTACATTTTGTTTAAAAATGTAATTTTTTCAACTTTAGAGGTTTGGCATGTAAAATCTTGTAAATGAGATGTAATGAGGCTGTTGGCCATTGTAACATGTTTAAAATGTCATATTACACTGGTGTGTATGTTCACACCATCACACAGTAGCATATAATGCAATTTGATCATGCCATGGAGGATTCAAATAAGACTTAGGGACTTTCCTTCATTTTGGTGCATAGTAGGTTCATTTCTTCACTTTCAACCTGTTTTGGTTGACCGATGGCCTATTTCGGTCGACGGATTCTTGGTTCAAATTGTTTGAACATCAAAAACTCCCATTCCAATAGCCATTTTTGATGTTTGGCCCAGTTCGGTTGACCGATGGCTTGGTTCGGTTAATCGATTCTCTTGTGGTTTTGGTTGAACAGTGTTTTGCCAATTCCAGTAGCCTTTTTCATCTCGAGCCACAAACCGGTTGATCGGTTTGTCATTTTGGTCGACCGAAATGAAGGCTCATTCTTCTCCTTTTTCCTGGCTTACTTCGGCCGACCAAAGCTCCATTTCGGTCGACTGAAATGGGGCTGCCTTGTGGGTTTTGTTGGGTTTGTTGCCTAGACAAATTAACCTTGTTTCATCCATTTCCACTTGACCTTGTTGTTCCTGCTTAAGCCACTTAATGGTGTACATGGTCTTGTTTGAACTAGATCTTACTCCTTTGGTTGTCAATGGTACCATTGGGTACCAAGTGACCTTTCCATTCTAGCTTTCGCTTCCGGTTATTACTTTGAGTTCCGTGAACTCATGGAAAGTCATCTTAGGGTCTTAGAGGTGTGTTATGCCTTGAGAGACCATTACCTTGTTTCTTTTGCTTCCGCAATTGGATCCATTATCGGGTTAATCTTCAGTTCATCACTGTTGCTCTAGGTCGAATAAAATCTCGGTCGTTACAAGTTGATGTGACAACCTGAATTTTTTTAAGATTTAATTTATAATTTCATTTTATGATTTTTATTTTGTCAAGATTGGATATTTTAAATTTAAATTGGAAATTTCTCAATGGGTTGATTTGATTTTGTTGCAATTGAATATTATATATATATATATATCTCATTTGGCATCAGATGGAAGAGTAAGAGAATTGGGATTTGGTTTTGTGCCACTTTGTGTCTATGATATATATACACATATATAATGTTCTGATGGAAGAAAGAATGATGGGGCTTCCAGATGAAATTTAAAGGGGAAATTGAAATGTAATGGTTCATTTGCGGGTCCCACTAATGAGTTAGTGGTGGGTTTTGTTTTTTTGAATATATATATATATATATTATATGTATATATTTATTTCATGTGAAGAAGGAATAAGGATGGAAAATTGGGGCAAGGTTGCTGCGAAATTAGAGATAGAATGGTCTTTCTTTGGGTCCCACTTGATTTTATGATAAAGGCATTTGTGATATATATATGATATATAAATGTATATCATCTGATGGCACAGAAAGGGAGCAGCGAAATTCAATGAGAAAGTAAAGAAGGAAATGGAAAAGTTATTCATGGGACCCACTAATTGATTTGTTTTGCCATCTTTCTTTTGACCAAGTGCAATGTATATTTGCAGTGGTGTGCTGTGTAATAGAAAAATGAAGAATGAAGATATGGAGGCAGCATGGTATGGCAGCCGAGAAAAGGAAAATAAGGTGGTGGCGAGGTCCATTAGAAATTTTGATAATTGTATTAATATTTGATTTGGGATATTTGGTGAATTGTTTGCTATGTCGGTGTAATGCCTATATATTGGGTGTCTTGTGTGCTAAGAGAGTATACAAAGACAAAAGAGAAACTTTGAGATAAAGAGAGTTTTTGAGGAGTCACACAGAGTCAGCCGAGAGTTGCAGAGAGGCTAGACTTACGATTTTGGTGACCTAGTGTTGATTTATTTATTTTTTTCGGGGTAGGGATCATCATACATTGAATGACTTGGATGATTTATTTCAAATATTTTATGATTGCTCTTTTGTTTAAATTACATATACGTATTTTTGTTTAAATATATATGTATATTTTTGTGAAACTAATTTTGCATGAAATTTCTTGAAATCCTTGTTATGGTTTTTCCTACTAGGACTTCCCCCGTCTCACTCCCTTCCAGTTTCAGGTACCATGGATTGCTAGTTAAGGGCTTAGGTGGAAAGGTTGGTGCTGAGGAATTATTTTATTTATTTAGAGATTTTGTTGTAAATATTTGAGGATATTGATTTGTATCAATAAAAAGATATTTCTTTTGAGATCCTGGTGTAATATATATATATTTTGATTTGAATAAATTGAAGAATTTATTTAGAAATTTGGGGCATTACAAATTGGTATCAGAGTCTGTACCCAGCCGGAAGTGTGAGTGTAGTGATGATGTTGTTGACGCGTGTGAGTGGCTGAGTGTTTAGTATTGACTAGCTATCACCTTAAATCGAGCGTGGGTGTGTGTATGGGCGGTGTCGTTCACTGGCAGCTACTAAAATGATTACTATCAGTGATTGGGGCACGTGTCCCTAGATCACTATTAGTTTTATTTTGTGGGCGGGTGACGGCATCGTCTAGCTACCACAACTGTTGTGGAGTGTGTGGGCGGGTGACTAGCACTGTTAGCTACCACAACGTTTTTACATGTCACGGTATTTCACATCACCTGAGGTAAGGATTTTTTTATTTTCTTTAGCCACTTTTGTTGTTTTCGGGTATGCGAAAATTGTTGGATCTGAATTTCGGGACGAAATTCTTATTAAGTGGTGGAGAATGTGACAACCCGAATTTTTTTAATATTTAATTTATAATTTCATTTTAAGATTTTTATTTTGTCAAGATTGGATATTTTAAATTTAAATTGGAAATTTCTCAATGGGTTGATTTAATTTTGTTGCAATTGAATATTTTTGAAATATATATATATCTTATTTGGCATCAGATGAAAGAGTAAGAGAAATGGGATTTGGTTTTGTGCCACTTTGTGTCTATAAAATATACACACATATATAATGTTCTGATGGAAGAAAGAATGATGGGGCTGGCAGACCAAATTTAAAGGGGAAATTGAAATGTAATGGTTCATTTGCGGGTCCCACTAATGAGTTAGTGGTGGGTTTTGTTTTTTTGAATAAGTATATATATTATATGTATATATTTATTTCATGTGAAGAAGGAATAAGGATGGAAAATTGGAGCAAGGTTGTTGTGAAATTAGAGAAAGAATGGTCTTTCTTCAGGTCCCACTTGATTTTATGATAAAAACATTTGTGATATATATATGATATATAAATGTATATCATCTGATGGCACAGAAAGGGAGCAGCGAAATTCAGTGGGAAAGTAAAGAAGGAAATGGAAAAGTTATTCATGGGACCCACTAATTGATTTGTTTTTCCAACTTTCTTTTGACCAAGTGCAATGTATATTTGTAGTGGTGTGCTGTGTAATAGAAAAATAAAGAATGAAGATAAGGAAGCATGGTGTGGTAGCCGAGAAAAGGAAGATAAGGTGGTGGCGAGGTCCACTAGAAATTTTGATCATTATATTAATATTTGATTTGGGATATTTGGTGAATTGTTTGTTGTGTCACTGTAATGCCTATATATTGGGTGTCTTGTGTGTTAAGAGAGTATACAAAGACAGAAGAGAAACTTAGAGATAAAGAGAGTTTTTGAGGAGTCACACAGAGTCAGCCGAGAGTTGCAAAGAGGCCAGACTTATAATTTTGGTGACCCAGTGCTGATTTATTTATTTTTTTTAGGGTAGGGATCATCATACCTTGAATGACTTGGATGATTTGTTTCGAAAATTTTATGATTGCTCTTTTGTTTAAATTGCATATATGTATTTTTGTTTAAATATATATGTATATTTTTGTGAAACTAATTTTGCATGAAATTTCTTGAAATCCTTGTTGTGGTTTTTCCTACTAGGACTTCCTCCATCTCACCCCCTTCCAGTTTTAAGTACCGTGGATTGCTAGTTACAGGCTTAGCTGGAGGGTTGGTGTTGAGGAATTATTTTATTTATTTAGAGATTTTGCTGTAAATATTTGAGGATATTGATTTATATCAATAAAATGATATTTCTTTTGAGATCCTGGTGTAATACTGATTTATTTTGATTTGTATAAATCGAGGAATTTATTTAGAAAATTTGCGGCGTTACAGGCATTGCCACCAAACCTAGATAGGTTTTCATGACGTCTTTCATGTCTCTATGTTGAGAAAGTAAGAGCCGAATCCATCGCATGTTTTACGATGGACAGATGTTGTTGTTGATGAGGATGAGGAAGGTCACATCCAGATTCTGGATTCGCGGGAGCAGGTCTTGCTGACCAAGACCATTCCATTGGTTAAGGTCTTATGGAGACATTATGGCATTGAGGAGGCTACCTGGGAGCTCGAATAGGAGGTTCGCTCTCGGTATCCCAATTTGTTCTCTCTTTTAGATATGACTTGATTTTGGGGATGAAATACTTTTAAGGAGGGTAGGTTGTAAAGACTCGGTCATTTTCCTTCCTTTTTTTTTCGGTAATTTTTTTTTTTTTCGTCTTTTCCCTATTTTGTCTTTTTCCCGTTTATAATTTTTTCCTTGCATAACCTCACTTTTTGTGCTCGGATTTGATTCTGACTTTGCATACATCCATAATATTTGATTTCCATGATATTTGTGTTTTTACTTTCGTAGAAAAGCATGCTAGTTGCATACCTTTTTCATAAAGGGCATGGATGCATAGTTTCTTGGAAACATTCTTGATTTTTGGGTTTTAGTGCAATTATGAAAGGAAATTATTTTTCATCTTAGGGGCCATTTTATAATTTAATTTGGAAGATAGTTTAGAAAAGGACATTTTTTGCAATTTTTGAAAAGTGTGACAAGTGTCTCATTCTCATGAAGCTTGTGGAAATGCCACAGGAGGAGGATTCTAAACTTGCATGATGGTTGGCATGGGCACAGCTTGTGGAATAGTTATCTGTGCCACTGGAGTAGTCACAAGTGCAGCTGGAATGTAAGTCTGTGCCATTGGAAGGGACTGCGCTTACTGCTGAGTTAGAGGGAACGGCCCTGCATGTTGCTGAGAGGAACTTTTTTCAATAAATGTGGCCAGCCTGCTAACTTGGAAGGTCGCCTATTGAGACCTTTCAGAATTATTTGGTCGAGGGGCCAAACCTTGGTTTGAGCTTCCAAGGGTCCGTTCCAACATAGACTCGAACCTTTGAGAGATTCAGTCTACCATTTCTTCTAACTTCCGCTCGTTAGCAAGAACGGCTTTTGCATGGTCTTAACTTGCCTTAGATTGGTCTTGCGTAACTCTGGCTAAGTCTTGGGCAACTCTAGCTTGGTCTTGCGTAAACCTATCTTGTTGCATTACTATCAAGCGGATGTTGTCCATAATGGCTCAATTTTCCATTATTTGACTAAATTTTTCCACCATATCATTTTTATTAGGTGCGAATCGTGAACTCTCTACTGGAAGTTCACTAACTTGTATCTCTTCTACTGGCCATTGAACAATCCGACTAAAATGTCCTGCCAGGCGTGTCAATTATGTTCGGCTCCTAAAAACCAGGGTTCCACTTTCCAAGTGAATGGAAAGTAGGAGTGGATGTCAGGCATGCCAGGAACTACTGTTGTTCCAAAGTGGATATCCGAACAACTATCCAGTAGGAGATTGTAAGGATCAGGCGAATGATTGAAGGACTGGAATTACCACCTTCAAAGGTTCTTTTCGCCTTGAAAAAGGACTTTCAGACTGAACTATGGCTAGTGGAAAGGAAAGCTGTATTGAAAGTGCAAGACTTCAAAGTAAAGTGCTAGAAAGTAGGAATAATAAGTGCAAGACTTGAATTAAACAAATTGAAAGTGCATTACATCAATGTAAAGACACATAAATGTGAAGTAATTGAAGTGCTGTTGGTTATGTGTGTTGAACAGGGTTTGCAAATTAGCTCTAAGTACTCTATTTATAGAATTCTTCATGCATGCAGTAGCTTGATGCGGCAACTCCAGCGATTTCAACGTGGCCATATTCTGGACTGCCAAGTGTCCCATAATCTCTTGGCAATTGTAACTTTTTCCTTCCATCTTCTCCCTTCTCTGTTGCAGACTTCAGCCATGCTCTCTATGATCTCAGTTTATGGGTAGTTCTTACAAAATATATTCCACTTGGTTTCTCCATAGGTTGACATGTGTCCCACGTCTCCATTTTCTTCTTCTCCCTACCATAAATATCTCTCCTTTCAGACACAATTTAACTAGACTTGCCTTCCATGCTTTACGATAACTTCCCTTCAGTTGGTAGCAGTTGTATGAAGTACCACTGACGTGTCCTTATTTGGCCAAGTGTCCCATAAGTCTTATAATCTCCTCCTTCTTTAGACTCCTTCTCTTCCTCTAATTCTATATATACATGAGTGTATATAGGAATTATTACAGACCCACGTTCCCTCTTTTAACTGAAACTTTCCTTCTTGAATCTTCCATAACATCATGGCCTCCTGAATTTTAGCGTTTTTTTCATCATGGACTATATTTGACATAAATATATATGTATAAATATATAAATATATATTTATGGATAGAAACCATCCCACACCTTTTTCTTCTATAGACCGCACCTCCTTGATTTTAGCTGAACTTTCCATGGCATCGTGGTCACTTTTCATTCTTCCACTGACTCTATATCGTGGGTTTCAATTATAACACACTTCTTTAATTTTAGCTTTTATCATGGGTTGTTCCTTCCATGAATAGATATATCATCCTCCATATTGTATAATCACGTTTCCTTAATTTTAGCAGCTTCCCTTCAACTTTACCTCATTTAGAACCCATGACGCCATGGATTCCTTCCTCACAGTAGTTACTTCATCGTGGGTCAAATCTGACAAATATATATTTGCATATATATGTATATATTTATAGAGATTAAACTCCCACGTCTCCTCCCTTTTAGCAGCATTGTTTGGCTTGGCTAAATGAAGTCTCTTAAAAATAAGGAGAAAATCAACCCCACGTTCTCCTTCTTTTTTGCTAAACCAACTTTGGTCTTACCATATTTAGTAAGATAACAATCCCTTAAGAATTGAAATGCCGTGGTAAGTCCTATAGAACTCACCATGTGTTGAAAATCAATTGGTTGGATGAACCTTGTCTTGGTTGATTATATGAGGTTGCATGTAGGATAGTGTTTCCATGCAATCCCTATATTCCAAATAGGACAAAGTGGACTATTATTTTAAAGATGGCAAGTCCTAATAGGACTCACCTCTTTCCTTTAAAAATAGAAAAGCCCCATATAGTAGGATTGTATTGGTCCGCTTTTAACTACTACGTAATATTATATAGCTTCCAATAATAATTTATTAAAGTTGAGATCCAGCGTGGTAAGTTCCATTGAAACTCGCCATATGTCGCCTTTCCATTGGGCCAAAAATAATGGAGTAAACACAAATTACTACATATTTACTTGGTTTAGGCTACATCAACTCCCTAGAAAGGAAGTTAGCCTCTCGTTGATATAGTAGCAACTTCAAGGATTGAAGAAGAGAAAGATTTTCCCTCTTTCCCCATTGTTGTAAATCTCAGCATAAGAACCTTAAGGAAAATCATCTCCCTCACAATCTTTTGTTAGAGTCCAAAACTAACTACCTTGATTCAAGCCTCTACCCTCTCTTTTATCCCTAGATGAGTTTCAAAACAAAACAACTTGTCAAAATTCAAACCCCTCTTTATCTGGAACAAACTCTGACTTATTCAAAATGGGGGCCCATAACCTTACGTGAAGCTCTGATAGTTGGCGTCCGGACGCTAATTCTTGCGTCTGAACGCGAGGTATGCTGCCTGGATTCTTCTTTTCTTCTACAGTGTTGGTTGTATCCATCGCATGTTTTGGCCATTTCATTTTGAAAGCCACTTCATATGTAGGCCCGATATAACTTGTGCTCCAAAAGCCCTTAAAACCTTATTTTTATTCCTTTTTAGCAATAAGACCTGCAAAAACATAAAAATGTAGTTAATCTATATACATAGATCAAATAATGGGCTAAACTAATCCAATTAAGGGTGCTTAAATATGCAATATTTGATGCTTATCATACCCCCAAACTTACATTTTGTTAGTCCCTTAGCAAAACAAAATTGAAACACAAGTGTCTCCTCTTTCGTGGGAGTGATGATTGCATTTAGCATATGCAACAAGCCTTTTAAACCCCTAGGTATCCCAAGAGGACTAGTGAAGTCTCGTGAGGGTTTACCAGAAATGATACCCACAAACACTAAGCAGCAAGACTCATTCTGGTATAAATTGAAACGTATGACTTTGGGGAAAAACTCTATCATGAAAACTATAACAAGTATGCATACAATGATATCTCAAAACAATATTCAATTCCCAGCATTCATGCATTAACAAACTAGTCTACATATATGATCTTCAACATCTCATTTATAATAGAATTTCATCTCAAGTTCCTTAGAAGTGAACATGATTTTAATTTTCTCTTTATAATGCACTTTTAACACTTTTATGACTCATATAAAGTCTTCCACATCCTTAATTTATCTTTTAAAATCATAATCCAAGGCATAAATTTATTTGAACACATTTTGTGTTGCTTCTTTTTTTATTTATTTATTTTTTATTTTTTTATGCATGACCATGTGTAATGTCCAAGTTCCTTAAGTTCTCTAATCACCCCATGTAACAAGCATTGAGCCAACGACTCCCAAACCAGATGGTCTTAGGGCATTAAGTGTAAAGACACTCCTAAGGGCGTAATGACTCAGAATGGTTAGGCTACGAACTCAAACTAATCATACATCTTACATTCTTTCTTTGTCTTCCTTTTTAATCAGTTGACATGTCGAAAGAATGCAGTTTTATTCATTTTTTTTTTTTTTTAATGCTAAGGATTATTTCATTTATCCGATTTACTAATTTAGGAAGCCAATTAAGTAAAACCGTGAGGAAGGGAATGCAATTTTTGGAGTGCTTAATGTGTATTGTGAAGTCACTTAGAGATGAAATACTCCAAAATAAATGTAATGACCTGGTCATTTTCCTCCCTTTCTTTTTTCTCAAATTTTGCGAATAAATTTTTTCCATTTAAATTTCTTTTCTGAGTTCAGTTTCTCATCTCATAGTGTCGTCTCGAGTGCTCAAAAATGGTTTCTGAGACTCTTTTGTTTGGATTGACAACTTCCTTTGAGGACCGAGTCATTTCTACATTTTCACTTTTCGAACACTATTCACTTTTCGTCTTTTTCCCTATTTCGTCCTTTTCTCTATTTCGTCTTTTTCCCGTTTGTCACTTTTTGGCACAACCTCACTTCTCGTGCTTGAAGTTGGTTTTTGACTTCACATATCTTCATTCTAAGTGGTTTCCATGAAATACCTATCTTTACTTTTGTAGAAAAGTACTCTGGTTGCTACCGGTGTCCATAGGGGCATGAACGCACAGTTCTTTGGAAACTTTTTCTTTTCTTGGGGTGTTTTTCATAAATATCTTTTGAAGATATTTTATTTCAGGGGCATCTAAGAAAATATTTTTGGAAGATATTTTCATTCTGGGTCATTAGTGCAATTTTCACTTTTTGGAGGGGCTATTGTGCAATTAATGAAAGTTATTGCAAAAATACCTTGTCTAGAGCCTGGATCCTCATACGGGATTTTTTTTCACATTTTGTTGAGTCATGTACTCCTAGAATTTCTTTCTAGTCATTTTTCTCCAGTTTCAGAGTTTCTAAACCCGGTTTGTGCTGAACTTGTTCGAAGCATATCTCTTTGCTCGGGACTCAGTTTTTGACGCCGTTTCTTCCGTTGTACATGTTTTCTCCTTTTGAATCTTTTTTGTTCATAGATTTTTGCCGTTTTAGTGCATTTGCTCAAATTCCACTTTCAGAGCACTTTTTGAGATTTTCTATAAATAGGGGACTTAAAGAAGAAAAATCAGATTTTCTTCTTCTTCTTCCTCTCTTGGCCAGCAGCCATGGATGCCCATGGGGCTGCCACCTTTTCTTCTTCTCCTCCACATGATTTCCTAAGTGAAAAGTCTTCGGCCTTAACGTTTGTTGTTCGCCTTATCGTGCTCTACCTTTCACCCTTATTAGAACCCATTTCTGACCAAATTTTGAGTTCGGATTTGAAGTCAAGTTGTGATTTTCATGGGGCTTCTTGTTCATCGTGTTCTCCCCAATAAAACCCTTCGGTATCGTCGGATTCGAAGCACTTTTATTTCGGTGGGCCTTTGAGATTTTCATCTCAAATTGAGGTAGGGGGTGTTATAATTTATTTTTTTGCTATATTGCATACTTGTGATGCATATATAACTCATTTACATATCTTTGTATCAAATCTAGAAACTTTAATTAATTATTTCTTTGTGTAAGATTTAATTTTCCCGATTACTCATAACTTGGTTTAAACATATGGCATGATAGAATATTATCCCTTGACATGATCATTGACATATATTAAATTGAGAGCTTTTGGATAAGTAATGAAATTTTAATTTAATATTTATCTTAAGTGAAAGATTAATTCATGTAGTCTTAACTAGCTTAAAATTAATGTGTGTTAGCATATTATATTAGGCCCTAACATGCTCTTCAACATAGATGAATTTGAGAGAAATCGGAGATGTTTTGAAATCTAGTAATATTTAATTAATTTGATTAATTTATTTATTCCAAGTGTACTATTGACTCCATTGGAATTCCGACTTATATTCTTAATATGCATGTCATATAGTTTCACATATATTTGTTGACCTTAAGGATTTCATCCAAGGACAATCTAGTTGTTTTGATGATAACAAACCATTAATGGTGTTTAAGGATTAATGTTTGCATTGAGTGTTATATAGATTATTTACATTCAAAGAATGACTTCAATGAAGCACTAAAGATCATTTCCATTATTCAAGATCACA